GGATACTCGTAAATCAGGTAAGGGATACTCCTAAATCAGGTAAGTGATACTCCTAAATCAGGTGAAGGGATACTCCTAAATCGGGTAAGGGATACTCCTAAATCAGGTGATACTCCCTCCTAAGCAGTTGCTGGAAGTTAAGCGAGATGCTACAAATAAAAGAAACGAGTTGTGCCCTGCAGTTTTTTTTTTTTTTTTTTTAAATTTTCGAAGGTTTTTAACTTAAATTTAAACGTCGGATTTAAATCGATTGAAAGTTAAGAAAATAAATAAAAATTTTTTTTTAGTAGGCATCAGTCTCAGGTCACCCATCCAGGTACTAACTTTGCTGAACCGGACTTGACTCAGTGTCATGATATGGAATTAAGCCTAAGTTTTTACCACTGGACCACGGTTCCAGGTAAATCAGCATAACAATAGTCGTAAAAACAATACACCGAATAGACTAGACTTTTTGACATAATTTTTTCAACCGATTCCGTGCGTGGCAGAGATGCAAGGGATTAGCCGATATGGTCTGGGGGCCGGCTGRTCTCTCCCCTGATGCTTCGGCTAGAACATTTTCTTGCGTAATTCGTRCACCCAAGGGCAGAAGGATTTAATCGCCGTCAGGTCCGAAGTCCATACGACGCCTCAGCTCTGCGGATGTCTCGGGGGTATGGCAAACTAGAATCGATTTTTTTTTTAAATTTCTGTCGGTTGGTACGAAGCCTATCGTATCCAGATAAGGTTTTAATTTTTTTTTTTTTTTTAAATTTGGAAACAAATTTTTAAACGACTTTTTGAATTTTTCTAATTTTGGACTGTTCGCTGTTCCAATGAATGTTGGTAAAATATTCTGCAACCAGTGGGAGGGGGAGGGGAGGGGAAGAGAACTCAGGTACTGACTGGAGGGAGTGGGTCCCCAGTGTTTCGCATCAGCTGACATACTAAGCAATCCATGCGCAGATTTCATATTCGCACGTGCGCATTAATTCAAGATGGCGGACGAACTTTGACATAAAATCAAACCAGCCACAAAAAATCGGCAAGAAAACCCGWCTATATCTCCCAAAAAAAACATTTAACAGTATAAAAACTATGCGGAGCACCTCTTCGTTCCTTAAGCGAACCATGTCACTCAAGGACAACGATATAAATGGCGCCACAGCGCAGTCTCCGTTGCATAATTTCGTCAAAGCCAAGAAGAAGATCAATAAGACGTTCACAGAAATCAGTAAATATCTYTTGGAAACCACACAGTTTATATCTGGCTGTGAAGTGGCGGATGAGAATAAGCCTGAGTTAAAGAAGTTTGCTGAAGAGGTTCGTGTTATTGTTGTTATTTTATTCGTGTAAACTGCATGAAAATTTGAACAGCTTTTGTATCGTGGTTTTTGAAAGCAGGTGTACAATGTAGAACAGGAAATACGCAAAAAGYATAATAACGTTGTTTTTGTGTTAASTAGGGAGTTCTGTTACTGAGAAAATGGTAGGGATAGTCAGAGAATAGTCTGGAAGTGTTCRATTACTTTTTTTTACAGCAGCATCTAGCTCCTCTGCTGTATATTAAAGCTTACTACATGTAGCATTTCCTCGTGATAAATGTGTGGTTCAAGAAAATATATGTCACACCTCCCTTAAGGCAAAAGACATGTTTAGTTTGGGCATAATGTTTCTCATTTCAGACCACATGTCATTCCCTGGATATTAATTTCTTTGTCTAATAGGGAAAAATTTTTTTCTGTCATCATTTGTTAGGTTTCAGGGTTTGTGGGCCAAGTTGCAAGCATTACAGAAATGCTTGCCAGAGACCAAATGAAAGTAGCATTCTTCGGTCGYACAAGTAATGGAAAGAGTTCCGTCGTCAATGCCATGTTACGAGACAGAATATTGCCGATGGGTATTGGACACACCACTAACTGTTTTATGAGTGTTCATGGATCTGATTCATCAGATCCTTACATCCTCATACCAGGRTCTGAAGAAAGAAAAAATGTTACGGTAGGTCTGTGGGGGTGGGCTACAAAATATGTGAGTGTGGGAAGGAGGGGGGAGGGGAGCGAGGGAAGCTGTGTGATACGATTTTGCATTGGATAATGAGGAGCAGGTTATTAGAATCCTGTGCTGTAGCAATATTAATGCAAAGGGTTATGAAACTACTGTGCTGTACTGTACTACTGTACTGATGAGGTACTGTACTGTACATGTTACTGCTCACAATGTCAATTACAATGATGACGATGTTGATGAGGATGCAGATGATGACAATGTTGACAATGATTATGATAATGCTGATGATTACACTAATGATGATGAAGATGATGCAGATGATAATAATGACAATGTCAACAATGATTATGATAATGGTGATGATTTCCCTAATGGTGATAATGCAGATGATGACAATGATGATGTTGACAATTGTTATATTGATGCAGATGATGATGATAACATCAATGAAGGTGGTGGTGATAAAATGATGATAACGAACATGATAATGATAACAATGATCACGATGATCACAATTATTATTATTATTATTATTATTAATAATAAATGTCTTTGATAATTATGCCTAATACGTTTGAATCCAGACACTTGGTCAAATTGCTAATGCTCTTCACAAAGAAAAATTACCACACAGCAGCCTGGTCAAGGTGTTCTGGCCAAAATCCAGGTCAGTAGATGATGTTGATGATGATGATGACAATGATGACAACAATGATGACAGTGATGATGATGATAGTGATAGTGGTGGTGGTGATGATGATCATGTTGATGATGATGATGATAATAATGATGCTAGTGGTATCCCGGTCAGTAGAAGATGTTGACGATGATGATGACTATAATGACAACAGTGATGACAATGATGATAGTGGTGGTGGTGGCAAAAGGATGATGATGATGATAATGATGATGGTGATGATATTAATGATTTAACAGATCAAAAACAGTTTTCTGTGTTTGATACTCTGATCAAAACACGTGGGATGTTGGGAGAACACGAGAGGAGCGTAGGAAACCACGACGCGTAGCGGAGTGATTTCCAGCTTCTCGAGTGTTCTCCCAACATCCCAAGTGTTTTGATCAGAGTATCAAACACAGAAAACTGTTTTTGATTTGTTTTATAAAATAACAAACGNGACTATAATGACAACAGTGATGACAATGATGATAGTGGTGGTGGTGGCAAAAGGATGATGATGATGATAATGATGATGGTGATGATATTAATGATAATGAATTTGAAAATGAGTGATACTGTATAAAGTCTTTTACTGATAACAAAATTTGATAATGGAGTTATAACTTRATAATAAAAATAATTGCATATATTTACAGGTGTAAGATGCTTTCAGAAGATGTAGTCCTAGTAGACAGTCCCGGTATAGATGTCGACCCTGATTTAGACTCCTGGATAGACAAGCATTGTTTAGATGCTGATGTGTTTGTCCTGGTGGCCAATGCTGAGTCCACTCTAATGATTACAGTGAGTAGTATATTATTCAAATACCT